AATATTTTTTCCGATATACCTCAAAATCCCTCTTAATCTATCCTAGGTGATATATACTCTCCAGATATCACGCAAAATCCAAGATATTTTTTTCATTTGTGGACACCATTGATATAGAGGGATTGGGGGTGTTTAGGAAGTTCATTGATGTTGATTAGCAGTATTCTGGGCATTTTGGTATTATCAGATATTCTAGCATTAATTCCTCGAATATTTGGACGATTATCAATGGATATAGAAGGATAACACATCAATAAAATAAGCATTTTTGGAAGTAATTTAGGCTGAAGTGAATTAGTAGATAAATTAGGCATTTTTGAAAGTAAATTAGGCATTGAAGGTGAATTATGCGAAAAAATTAGGCGGTAACCTAGGCATTTTTATAATTTTTATTTTTTTTCGTTTCGTTTCGTTTCGTTTTGTGAAAATTGAGATTTTTTTTCGTTTCTTTCGTTTCGCAAAAATAAAAATTATTTTTTCGTTTCGTTTTCGTTTCGTACATTGACGAATTTATTTTTTTTTCGTTTCGTTTCGTTGAGTGCGAAATTTTATTTTCGTGCAGCTCTGGACCGGACTGAGGTTAGACCGGACTGAGGCCAGCATCTTCAGTAGACCGGACTGAGGTTAGACCGGACTGAGGCCAGCATCTTCAGTAGACCGGACTGAGGTTAGACCGGACTGAGGCCAGCATCTTCAGTAGACCGGACTGAGGTTAGACCGGACTGAGGCCAGCATCTTCAGTAGACCGGACTGAGGTTAGACCGGACTGAGGCCAGCATCTTCAGTAGACCGGACTGAGGTTAGACCGGACTGAGGCCAGCATCTTCAGTAGACCGGACTGAGGTTAGACCGGACTGAGGCCAGCATCTTCAGTAGACCGGACTGAGGTTAGACCGGACTGAGGCCAGCATCTTCAGTAGACCGGACTGAGGTTAGACCGGACTGAGGCCAGCATCTTCAGTAGACCGGACTGAGGTTAGACCGGACTGAGGCCAGCATCTTCAGTAGACCGGACTGAGGTTAGACCGGACTGAGGCCAGCATCTTCAGTAGACCGGACTGAGGTTAGACCGGACTGAGGCCAGCATCTTCAGTAGACCGGACTGAGGTTAGACCGGACTGAGGCCAGCATCTTCAGTAGACCGGACTGAGGTTAGACCGGACTGAGGCCAGCATCTTCAGTAGACCGGACTGAGGTTAGACCGGACTGAGGCCAGCATCTTCAGTAGACCGGACTGAGGTTAGACTGGACTGAGGCCAGCATCTTCAGTAGATCGGACTGATGTGTTACATCACGCCGCCTACTGCATAGCCTTAGGAATTATATAGCTATATGCTTTACGGTAATTTATTATAAAATCCTTGATTTAGTATTTAACTTTACTAAAAAAACTTACTCTGCCTTAATAGTGTGAAAGTAGTACTCATCCCCTGCGCTGTTAATTTATCTGTTGCTTCATTTATTTTAGTTGGATAGTTATCCAAAACTTGTCCATATTTCCCAAAATCGAGTTGCCTTCTAAATAAAAATATTTGATAAAAATATTTATTTTGTATGAGTTATCCCAACTTATATTAAAGGTGTTTAAACACTGGTAATTAACAAAATTAAACAAAAATCTACTATTATAATCTCACATTATTAACTTTATTGTATTGATAAATATTATTTTCATAGAAAAATACCCTATCTGGTTAAGAAGCAAAACATAAGAATCTCTTGGCTCATCAGTATTCGTAAGCATTGGTGTTAATGCCCTAGCTACCCCCATCAAATTATAAAAAATATATATATTCTTCTCAAGTTGTGTAGGCTCAAGTAATTCATTCAGAAGATTACGCAATCTAGTTCGATTTAATCGCCTCAAATGCACATCCAAATCAGCGTCGCTTTAAAAATAAATTTATTACTTAACTAGAGAAAGGGTGTTTACTCAAAACTAGAGTTGGCCGGTATCGGGAGCTCGATCCGGATTGGGCGGGATTATCCCGGTTTTTTTTGAATCCCGATTTCGGTCAATCCCTTCCCGCAGTCGGGATCGGTATCAGGATAGGGACCAACCATCATTCCTTAATCCAGATTCTGATAACGGCCAACTTTACTCAAAACTAGAGGTCACGAGGGGGAGATAAAGCAACTCCCAAACTTGCTAAAGCCTCACCTTATTTTCTCACCATGGCCAATGTTTAAATTTAAATTTGAATTTAAAATTCCATTAGCTCTATCTCCGTCATTTAATTTATCTGAGAGTTCATTGTATCTAGAAGTTATTAATCCAATTTTGTTTCTAGCATCTCTCAAACTTCTGTTGAGCTCGTTCATTGCTTCGTTCAGTTTGTTTTCATACACAACAATCAACTTAAATTGTATTACTAAACTTAAAAATGGGGAAAGTTTAGAGTAGTCTGAGATTTGCCAAAAGTAGACAAGCAAAAGGATAATAATTTATCCAAAGTAGATAGTTAAATGAATTTAAGGGCAGAATTCGGGTTGGAACAAACAAAGAATATCAGGGATCACCGGCCTCTTTATCGTGATGACTGGAGTAGTTAATAGTAGTTAATTAGTAGTAGTTAATCCCCCCCCCCCCCCCAAAGCGATTTGGGGGTGAGCAATTTGGGGGGAATTAACTACTGACCATCCTATCTATCAGGGATCACCGGCCTCTCTATCAGGGATTACCGGTTGGAACAAATTTCAGGTTGGAACAAACAAAGGATATCAAAGATTAATCGGGCTAAACTGAAGATGGATTAATTACATTAGCAATTTTGCCGGAAATCATTCCAATGGTTCGAAGGATCAGATCTGAATTCGTTTGATTTATATGAGCAGTCTGTTGTGAATCTATGTGCCTTTGGTTTTCTTCCATTAAATGGACAAAATGTCCAGGACGCATGTTGTTTCGATTCAGTTCTATTAAATGAGCAAGTTGTCCTTGATTCAAGATGTGTTTTTCTCTTAATAGGCTAATCCCTTTAGCAAACAGGATGTGTTGAATCGAATAATCATTTTGTTCCAATTCATTCTCATGAACCTCCTCCAAAATTCTAATCAGAAAGGACAGCTCGGTGAGAGAAAATGCATTTGGTACATGTTCAAGAACTTGTTTTCCAGTTTTAATTTTTTCTATAATTATTTTATAATTGGGAGATTAGTTGGAAATTTATTTTTAAATAATTTCACAACGAGTTTCTTATGTTATTTGTAATTAGGATTAAGATTGAGTTAGGATCTCTCTCGAAAAAATTTTAAGCAAAGGATCATTTAATACTTCAAGAATCATAATTATCGGGAATCAAGGCTTCGTTCGATCATCAAGTCCCGTTTCTATTTTAAGTAGAAAACTCTCAAAAAAATTTTTGAGCAACGGATCTTTTAATACAGAAGCTTTTGAAAGGGCATATCCCATAATTTGGGGGTTATCCTATAATTCTGTTAAAAGAAATTTTTGTATTATGGCTGCCATAAGCATTCGAATCAAAAATTTTAATATTAAAATTCTTGTTTTACTTCTATAATTTTAGAATAAATAAGTGATACTTGGAGAAGGCGTGTGTGGATGTTTTCCTCCAGATTTTCTCATTCCTTCAACCAAATCTCGGGGCAATTTTCCAATAAAAAACAACAGAAAATGGGTTATAATGAGGGAACGAATAATCATTTTAAGAAAGTTTTAGTTAGATTCTATATGAAAATTTAAAGTTTTAAAAATTAATTTATGGCTATGGAAGTCTAAAATTGGCTTTAAAATTGCCTTTAGAATCCCTCTCTAGCTAAAAAAAATTTTTCTTAATTAAAATTGGCTATTGACAAATAAAGAATAATTAAATGGAATTACAGTCAAATTTAAATGCCTCTCCTCTCTCTCATAATCGTTGGCCCTTAATTTTAAATTTAAGAGGGAATAAGGGAGTGATAGGCATTTTAAATTTACTAGCAGCTGCGCGGAGCTGCGCGAAGGAAGGGAAGGCATTAGCGAGAAATGCCTTCGATTAATGAATCAATTTTGGCAACACATGATTTTAAATTAAATAAATTTCCGGCGCCCCCTTTAATTAAAACTTAAAAATAATTTTTTCAAATGACTTGCTTTGAAAGTTGCTTAAATATTAAGTCAAAATTCATTAACGTTTATTGTAGGTTGTCAAAGCTTGGAAATTTCAACTGAACATATAATCTAGGGCGTTTAATTTTTATAATTTTCTGGCAGAGTATGTTTATTTGATTCAGAAGGCAATGAAGCCAAAATTCGTCCAGAATTCATCCCTTTTTAACAACATGCGAAAAATTTTTTTGAGATTTCCAAGGGCAAGAGTAAGACTTTCTTTTTATAAAAAACGAAAATAAATTCGGCTCCGAATTTGTTAGTTAAAGCCGGAAAGGATCTGGCTGCATTTTTTGGATTGTTCCGGTCCGGAAATAATTAGAGATTGAGAATTAATCCGGATTTGAGACATGGATTCCGGAAACATCCGGCAGGAACTGGGCCAGCGTTGGCATATTCATGAGTTATATCAAACTAAGTGTCTCTGATTGAATTCCAAATCAACTTCTCGAGTATCAATTCTACGTGGTCACCCTTATGTATTATAAGCAGGAATTTAATTATCAATCTAGATGAGGAAACTTTTGATTAATTGTCTATGGCCTAATTTATTAAATTAATTATTCTTTTTGTATTTACATCTTTATACATTTATGTACATTTATATACAATTTTGGGATTACATGAGAAAATTAAAAAATATTTTTAAATATACATAATATCACTAAAAATTTTTAAAAAATTTACAAAAGTTGATTAAAAATGTTTTGTAATCTTAGGTTTGTTTCTAATGACAGAACAAATAAACTTGTAATTTTTCCTAAATTAGTAGGAACATTTTAAAGTTATGAATTAATTTTGTAAATTTTTTAAAATATTTTAGCGACAAAATTTTTTTTGTATTTTTGTGTTTTCTTGTGTTTTTTGTATTTTTTTGTGTCTTTGTGTTTTTATGTGTTTTTTCTGTGTTTTTTATGTTTTTGTGTTTTTGTGTGTTTTTTTGTGTTTTTGTGTTTTTTCTTGTGTTTTTTGTGTTTTTTTGTATTTTGTGTTTTTTGTGTTTTTTTGTATTTTTGTGTTTTCTGTGTTTTTTGTATTTTTGTATTTTTGTGTTTTCTGTGTTTTTTGTATTTTTGTATTTTTGTGTTTTCTGTGTTTTTTGTATTTTTGTATTTTTGTGTTTTCTGTGTTTTTTTGTATTTTTGTGTTTATTCTTGTTTTTTTTTGTGTTTTTCGTGTTTTTTTGTGTTTTTTTTGTGTTTTTTTGTGTTTTTTGTGTTTTGTGTTTTTTGCCCTTTTAACAGTAATCCTTCAATACTTATTCCATAGTATAATATTCACTAATATCATTACTTCCATCATTAACCGTAAAAATAATTCTAACATAACCCCTAATTGTGTCTACATTCTCGTAGTCTTCATTAGCTCGAAACTGTGGAAATATATTATTTGCAATTCGATTTGAAACTTGTTGCGCAATATCCATAAAACCTGGTTGATGTTCTTGATGTCCTGAAGAAAAAAAATAATTAATTTTATTAAATTAAAATTTAAATCTTTTAATGGCAATTTGGAAAATTCTATTTATCAAGTCATTTTGGCTCTGTTTTGTTCGCTGATTCTGACACCTATTTATATTTGGGATATACACCAGGGCTCGGTCAGATTATCCAAAATACGATACCCTAACTATTTTTTTATTGGAAACTCGTACAATAAAATCAAATGAAGTTTTCAAAGACACTGTCCATTACTGATATACATCACTCTTAATATCAGCAAAAAATTTGGCGTCAGATTTTTTCTTCGATTGCTGACTGGATATTAGGAATATGCCACCCAATTTGCAATGTTTCAATAATTTCTACCTGTATTTAATAGGTGGAAAGTAGTTTCCGCTGATAACAATTTATTTACTCCTTGATATATTTTTCTTGGATAGTAATCACAAACTTGTTGGTATTTTACTAAATCGAGTTCTAATCTAAATAAAAATGTTTTTTTTAATTTTTCTTTTATTTTATATTTTGAATTTCAAAAAGCATTTTGATACTTAAAAATATTTTTAGTCTTTTTTGAAGCGATTTAGAGAATTAGGCATAATCATTTCCATTTTCAAGGATATCGCTTAAGCAGCCTTATCCTCGCGCGATTTTAGATAATTTTTTAGTTTGATTTTTTAAAGTTTTACTGGTGGAACCGCTTGAACAATCCACCGGAAATTGAAAGCAATTTCATCATTTATTTTCAAATAAAACTACATATATTATCTCTGCCTCAATAGGGTTACATAAGAACAAAATTCGACTGTATCAATATAATAATTTTCATAAAAAATACCCTATATTTCTAACACGCTGAACATAAACATAACGTAGCTGATGGTTATTTGCATGCAAAAACGTTGAGGTTACTTCCCATGCCTCCCCCATCAAATTACAAAAAATATATGAATTCTTCTCTCCTTTTGTAGGTTCAAGTAATTCAATCAAAAGATTAGTCAAGGCACGAGGGCTTTAATAATAAATATATATTAACCGGATAAAAAAATCTTTTTTAAATCCGGAAACCGAACTTTTCCTTTACTTTCTAAAATTTTAATTCTTCCCGAAAAAGAAGCAATAATGTTAAATTTCTTACCGTAAATTATTCAACCCATCCAGGTCAAATATATTATATTTCCTAAGAATTTGATTGGCTTTCTTTTCATTATTTAGATTTTCCGAGAGTTCAGTGTGTCTTTTAACTATTAATTCAATTTTATCTTCAACAGTGTATTGAGTCATATTGTGCTTGAGTTGGTTTATTGCCTCGGCAAGTTTATGCTCATATTTTGTAATTAGTAACTTGAAACAATTAGAAAAATTTATATTTTTATATAAATATTTAACTAAATAAGACATGGTTTTAACTAAATAAAGTTTAACGCAGAAGTGTGTCAGTTCGGCTAAAGATGCCATTTTTTATTTTTAACAATGGTTATATTGTGTTTAAGTTTGTTTATTGCCTCAGCAAGTATCTGATCATTAATTGGAAGAATCGAAAATTGAAACTAGCCCAAATGCTGGGAACGCAACTTATAAGAAAAGTTGTTGGAACTCAGTAGGTGGTGATCGGGATTTAATCCACCTCTAGTCTCAACTCTATATTAAATTTAAATATAAAAGCACCCACATTTGCAATTTTATTTGAAAAAGTAACAAAGTTTTGCCCAATTTCTGGGTTCATGGGGACTCCTCTTTGATGTATTATTTCTTGCCCTTTTCGAAAAAGAAGGGTTGTTACTTTTTCAAAGTTTTGAACAGATTCTTCATTTTGTTCCACTTCAGTATCCTTAACCCACTCCAAAATTCTAATCAGAAAGGACAACTCGGTGAGAGAAAGTGCATCTGTGCTATTCATAAGAACTTGTCCTCCAGTTTTGCGTTTCTCTATGAAGGTTTTATGTAATTGGGAAATTAAAAATTTATTAAAAATTATGTGCCAAATTTATTTAACGAATTTATAGCTAACGAAGCTCCTATCCTATTTGTAGCTAGTAGTGTCTCGCCAGAACCGCAAACCAGAACTTCCGGCGAAACACTAGTAGCTAGGATTCTGCCTAGTTTAATAATAATAATACTTGAATGAGACGACTTGGAAGATTCTCCCGCTTTCTTCATTCCTTCAACCAAATCTCGAGGCAATGTTCCAACAAAAAACAACAGAAAATGGGTTATAATAAGGGAACGAATAAACATTTCAAGAAAGTTTCTGTTAGATTCTATATAAAAATTGAAAGTTTTAAAAATTAGTTTTTGGCTATGGAAGTCTGAAATTGCCTTTAAATCCCTTTCTAGCAATAATAGATTAATATCTGATTAAATGCTTAATATTCCAGGAGGGTAAAGGAAACTTAATAAGGCATTATTATAAAACGATTCTTAGAGTAGTATGTTCCCGAGAAGTTTTTAACTTTTAAATTCTCTTTAAAATTACATATGTCAGGCAATAAATAAAATTAATTAAAATTAAATATTGGCCAAATAGGCAGGTAAAATTCAAATGATTGCCTGTAAAACTGCCAGCTTATAAATCCTTCCCTTCCATAATAGTATAAATAAAATCGACTATAGGGGAAGGAATCGAGAACATTTAATTTATTTTCTCTCATGAGGTCTAATTCTTGGGGCCTGAATGAGAATGCGAGCGCCTTTATTAATGCATGTGATAAATGAATCAATCAGAATTGAATTTTGAAATTGCCTTGAAGACCAAAAAATCTTCTCTCGGTGTTAGCAAAATCGGGAACGGGATTCAAAAAAACCGGGATAATCCCGATCCCGCTGAATTCACGTTTTATTAATGCAACAAACTTTTTCATGAATATTTCTTTAAAAAATAAAATGTTGCTGAATTTTGAAAACATTTTTTAAACGATAAAATAATACATACTTAATTAAAATTTAAGTTTTAAATGAGTTAAGAGGAATTGAAGGCTTTTACTCATTTTATTACAGTAAATGTTTTGCCCACTCTCAAAAGTTTGCGCTCAACTGTCCTTTATTGAAAAATGACATTAAATCCCAATTTTTCTTAAACTGTCACTCTCGTTTCTTTTCCCTATTATCTCTCGCTTTTGTTTGTTTGGAAAAAGTTTTTTTTTTGTTTTTTTAATAATTTTTCGAAATTCTGAAAATTATGTCAGTTTATTTTAATTTTTAGGTTAATTTGTTTCAAAGAAATTATGAATAATCGTGACAAGAACAAACAACAAAATACTCAAGACCAAACAAATGCGGCTAAAGAGAATAATCAAAAGGTTTTTAAATTTATTCGAGTTGTGAGTAGTTTAATTCAAATTTTTAGTCCAATCAACATTCGCGAAGACAGAATAATCAGAGCAATCAAAACAACCAACAAGCGGGTCAAACCTCTCGTGGAAACAATCAACAACAATTTCATAGAAGAGATTTTCGACAACAAAAATGGCAGCAAAATCGGGATAAAGCCAATCAATTTAAGACTGCTAAAACGAAGGTTCTTTTTTCTTTAGTGGATTTTTAAGTTTCTGGGGTGTTAACTTGTATTTTTTACAATTGGTTTTCTTTTTGCCTCTATTAGGGTTTTAGAGTTTACGAGGTGTCCGACCTAAAAACGGTCGAGACCGGGCTCATTCGATAGAGAATATGCCCTTTCTAGCAAGGATTTTGAGCCGTTTTTGCCCCATTTCAGTTGGGATGCTGGCAGGTTTTCCTATTATTCTAATGAGATCCTCAGACCTTCCCATACTTCCTAGGCTCTCTATTATCTGTCCAATTTACTTCAAAATCCTTCTTCAACTTTCAGCTATTTTTTTAAATATTTTTAGGAACGAACAGACCATGCAGGAATTCCCATGATTGGTGAAATTAGTGATTGTTTAATCTGTTGTCAACGTTCTGATCTTTTTGGACTGGGGGAGTGCATGCATCCGGTTTATTTTTTGTTTTAATTGGAAATGTTTCTAATTTATTTTGTAGATTTGTATGGAATGTTCACTTCGTATTCGCGTAATTGGAGAGACAAAGCAATGCCCACAGTGTCGGACTGATATCCCTATTGTATTTTTAAATTTTTATTTTGTGGGGTAGGTGGAGGGTTTTAGAGAACGGTCTGAGTAAGGCTTGTAACTAAAGTTTTTTGGAATCCCCCTTTTTGTGGGCTTGGTTTGAATCTGATTTTAGTCTTTATTTTTTCTGGATCTGAAATCGAGATCAAATCGATTTATTAACAACTTAATTTGGATCTAGATTTTGTGTTAGGGTATCCGTTTGAAGCAAATTCATATTGTCTTTAAGATTTACTGTCTTTTTTATTTTTAAGTCCTTTCCTTGTCTTACTAGGGTTGGTCCCCGTCCCCGAAAGTCGGGGACGGGAGTCGGATAGGGTCAAAGTCGGATATGACCCTTGTCCTTACATATTTAAGCTTTTTCATTGATTTTCCCCCTCAATTTTCACTTTTCTATTTCCCTTTCAATTTTACAGCTCTATTATGTCTCCGCTCCTCCTGGGCAAAAACTACTTTTAAAGCTGCCATCAAATTGTATTGACCATGGCGAATACGAGGCTAAATATTCTGTTCGTTTTGATTCAAAATATGCCTTGGAATGTTTTGATTCTTATATGGCAAATCGTTGCAATGAATGCACTAAAAGGTTTATTTTTATTTCAAAATATTTTAGAATTTTTTAAAATTTTAGTGGACAACGTGTTGAGTTTGCAACTTTTGCCGAACTTAGGTCGCATATGAGTCAAGATCATCATCTTTCTTTCTGCCGGATTTGCTGTGATAATTTAAACGTATATAATTTTTATTTTATATGATGATTTGGGCATTGTTTGCCGAACTTAGGTCGCTTTGGGTGTTAATTTAAGCGTTCCAAACGTCATTGTTTCGACACCTCTATTTTTTCAGCTTGTTAATTTCTGAAAACCAACACTTTGTCAGTCCCCTCTAGACTTCGTTTCATTCAAATGACCGTCATCAACTTTAATTTTTATTCTATA